TCCTGAAAATAAGACCTAGCACATCTTTGGGAGCAAAACTTAATATAAGACACAGCTTTATTTTTGGGGAAACAGGGCACTATATAAATTCAGTGCTATCCCGATATGAATACTACCATCCTTCTTCAAAGAATTGGAAAAACTGATTACCAACTTGATATAAAGGTGGAAGAAGCCCAGAATTAACAGAGAACTCCTCAAGAAGAAGGACAAACTAGGAGGGCTTGCTCTACGTGACATTAGCACATATTATACGGCCACAGTAGTCAAAACAGTGTGCTACTGATATAACCACAGATACTCAGACCAATAGAAAAGAGCTGAAGATCTAGAAATAAAAACATCAGCATACAGGCAACTGATCTTTGATAAGGGCCCCCAAAATATCAAATGGGAAGCAGATGCCCTCTTCAATAAATGGTGGTGGAAAAAATGAAGCTACAGAAAAATGAAGCAAGACCCTTACCTCACTCCATGCATAAGAATAAACTCAAGGTGGATCACAGACTTTGCGATAAAACTCCAAAACAATTAGAGCCATTAATGGGGGAATTGGGACAAACCAGAGAACCTTGGCACAAGGAATACATTGGCTATCTGACATAGGGAAGGATACAAATACGGAGGAGACACAAATATACAAGTGGGATATACTGAAGATAAAGTCAGCTGTGTACATTGAAAGAATTCACCAAGAGAGTCCACCGACTGGGAAAACATCTTTAGCAATGACACATCAGACAAAGGCCGTATTACTAAATTATGCAATACTTTGCAAGCTTACAATAAGAGGAAAACTAACTGCTCACCGAGGAGGTGTGCAAAGGCCCTGAACAGAAGTTTCACAGAGTCTAAAATCCGAATGGCCAATTAACATATGCAAAAAACGTTCCTGATAATTAGCCATAAGAGTAATGCAAATTAAAACAACTATGAGATACCACCTAACACTCTCAAAGGTAGCCCGATTCAAAAAATCAGAAAGCAGCAAATTTTGGAGGGGCTGTGGTGAGACAGGAACTGTCATCCACTGCTGGTGGACCTGTAGCTATGTACAGCCACGATGGGAATCACTTTGGCGATTTCTAAAACAGATGGAAATTGAGCTACCATATGACCCAGCAATCCCTCTACTGGGCATATACCCAGAAGAGGCAAGAAACAAACCAGGGCCAGATATCTGTGCTCCAATATTCATCACGGCACAGTTCACAATCGGAAGGAATTGGAAACAACCCAAATTTCCATCAACAGACAACAGATTAAAAAACTGTGGTAAATACATTCAATGGAGTACTATGCATCGCTAAAAAGCAGTGATGAACGCATGACGCATATCGCTGCATGGGAGGAACTGGAAGAAATTATGCTAAGTAAAGTAAGCCAAACACAAAAGGACAAGTACAACATGAGTCCACTGAGGTAAGTCTATTTAAAAAAAAGATATGGAAAAGGGGCACAGGGAAAAAGCCACTGTATACAAACATTCCAGAGGTGAGGCCCAGGTAGTATGTCAGGGGCCAGATCAAATCCAGGGGTATATATGGTAGCCAATTATAAAGGAGGAGGTGGGGAGGAAAGGAAAAAAAAAAGGATAGAAATGTGTAGGGAGTGGAATAGGGCACTGTTATAGGGTATTGTTTATATCTCCACAGGGAAAGAGGGACCAGACTTAAATCCAGTGTTCTGGATGCAAATGCATCATGCCAGCATGGAGAGGCGAGCCAGTGGAGGGGTCTGAGGTCCACCTCCAATCCCAGCTACGTGGACAACTTCTCCTCCACCCCCCACCCCCCAAGAAGAATTTACTTTAGAGAACAGCACTGAAGCTGTAGCTTGGGGAGAGGGACGTGTCTGATCAGAGCACACAGGAACAAATGAAGGGGAAGGAAGAGAGAGTGGAGCATATCCTGGCCCACTAAGCCTGGAGGACGATATCCCCTCTCAGAATAGTGAATGCACAGAGTGGACCATATGGCTGATCCCACTATGAGACACAAGGTCCCTCGCCATGGCCCATATGGCGGACAACACTGGAGACTCAGTGTTGGGATTGGCCCAGTCTGACCCCCATCACACCGAGGAAAAACACTAAGGGCATGTGGCAGAGCAACATGGGAAGCAGAACAGGGAGCTCCTGAGGAGTGCAAAGGATAGACTTTGGGGCCAGAGCAATGTACCCTATTGGACTCGACTGGAGGACACTCCTAGAGGTAAAAAAACAGACCTGGATCTATTTACAGGTTTTTCTTTATTTAATTTTTAAAAATGAATCAATTAATTAGGTAATTTTTGGTCATTGGTTTACTTTGTTGTTGTGTTCTCTTTTGTCACTTTGTCTTGCTATGCCTTGTTTTTGTGTGCATATTATTATCGCTGCAGGTCTATCTAGATAAGCTAGGCTGGATGAACAGTCTGGAGGAGACACGGGAGAGGGGAAGGTGGGGGAAAGGAGGTGGTGTTGACTAACTCAGGGACAAGGAACAACAAGTGATCCAAAATTAATGGCAAGGAGGGTGTGAGAGGCCTGGTAGGGATTCAGCAAGGGCAATGTAACCGAGAGAAATTACTGAAACCCAAATGAAAGGTAAGCATGATAGTGGGCCAAGAGGAAAGTAAAAGGAAATAGAGGAAAGAACTAGGAGGCAAAGGGCATATATAGAGGTCTAAATACAGGCATGCACACATGCACACATTCTGTATTTATATAGAATGATGGGGAAATAGATCGGTGTGCATATATTTATAGGGTTAGTATTAAGGCAGCAGATGGACATTGGACCTCCACTCAAGTACTCACTCAATGCAAGAACACTTTGTTCTGTCAAATTGGCATTCCATGGTGCACACCTTCTGGACAGGATCGCTGAAGCCAAATGTGTGCATAAGCAAATGTGGTGAAGAAAGCTCATGGTGCTCGGCTATCAAAAGATATAGTGTCTGGGGTCTTAAAAACTTGCAGGTAAACATGGAAGAAGCACACCAGCCTGTGTGACCACGAGGTGTAGAAGGAACCAGGTTACAGGCATCAAAGAACAAAAAATCATATCATTGCAAATGAGGGAGAGTGCAGGGTGGAGACCCAAAGTCCATCTGTAGGTAATGGGACACCTTACAGAAGGGTCGCAGGGAGGAGATGAACCAGTCAGCGTGCAGTGTAGCAACAATGACACATACAACTTTCCTCTGCTTCTTAAATGCTTCCTTCCCCCCACTATCATGATCCCAATTCTACCTTACACATCCAGCTAGACCATAGGATATACACTGGTACAGATAGGAACCAGAAACACAGGGACTCCAAGATAGATTATCACTTCAGGTGAGAGTGGTGATACCGGAGGGTGGAGGTAAGGTGGGGTAGAAAGGGGGAACTTATCATAAGGATTTACATATAGCCTCCTCTCTAGGGGACAGAGAACAGAAAAGTGGGTGAAAGGATACGTTGGACAGTGTAAGACATGACAAAATAATAATAATTTATAAATTATCAAGGGTTCATGAGGGAGAGGGAGGAGGAGGGAGGGGGAAAATGAGGAGCTGATACCAAGGGCTTAAGTGTAGAGCAAATATTTTGAGAATGATGAGGGCAATGAATGTAAACATGTGCTTCGCACAATTGATGTATCTATGGGTTGTGATAAGAGTTGTATGAGCCCCTAATAAAATGATTTAAAAAAAAGATTCAAAGACTGTAAAAGAAGTAAAGCACCATTACAGTATATTTAAAATCTTTAAAAATTGTTGGTAAATTAAAAAAGAAACTAAAGATTTAAACAGGCTAATCAAAAATACCTTACACAAGCCCCTTTAAACCAGGATTAATTGCCATTAAGTCCATTCCAATGATAATGACCCTATGTGTATCTAAGTACAGTGGTGCACCACGAACGTTTTCAAAGACTCATTTTCTAGAAGCAAATTACGTGACCTTTATCTTAAGGCCATTCTACGTAGCCTCAAGCCTCCATCCTTCGGGTTGCAAATTGAGCATGTCAATAATTTGCACCACCCTGATACCTCTACCTTCTATAAGGTAAATATGAGAATAAGCTTTAAAAAAATTACTCCAAATCATAGAAATTTTATAAGCAAAAATTCCAAGTGTCAATCTATTGTTACTTCACATCTATTTCTATAACTTCCGAAAATGGTGTTTTCATTTATCTTACCCTTTTCTAAATAATTCTTTGATTTATTCAATGTCAAAATGATAGTTTCAACATCTTCAATGGATTAAATGTGTTTTTTAGAAATGTTCTTTGAGTTTGGGGATAAAATGATGTCTAAAGGGGCATAATCAAAGCTCTAGGGCAGATATGGGAAATATGCCAGTGAAATTTTCATAGGACAGCCCCTGCTGGCCTCACAGAATGAGCAGGTGAATTGTAGTGATGGGAAATAATCCCTCGAAGCAACTTTTCTGGCCTTTTAAAAAAAGATCACAAATGTAGTTTTCAATTTTATTCAAACTTCTTCCCAATCAGCTCCCAATAAGCTCTGTGTTTTTTTAGAGTACTCCTTTGGAATTCTAAAATACTGTCAACATAACCATCTGAGCTTATCTCCTCTCTGCCTTGAATGCCGTTGGAAGCTACTGATTTGATTGGACCTTTTGTTGTTGTTGTTGTTGTTTTGAAGGCACTCTAAGAAGACTAAAACATATGCATTACTAAAAGAACTTATCTGTAGTGTCTACAGATCCTAGAGACATTTAAATATGTTTTGTTTGGAATCAACCAATGGATGTATAACTAGGATCCCTACTACCATACTTTTTGTCCTCATGTAAATATAGTACCCAACCTTAAGCACCTAATATCCAAACCCCAGCCCCAGCCCCTCAGACCTACTTTACATATTCTTGACCATAAATTTTGGTTCCCCACATTAGACATTATGGCAAGATGCTATAATGAATCAACAAAACTGCAGTGAAAATCACCTATGTATTTATTTATTAAGAACTCACTGGAGAGCTAGGAAGCAAACCAACGAACCTGTGACTCTTCCCAGAGTGAGTGACCTGAAAGCTCTGAATTCAACATCTGGGGAGAAGTTATAATTTAACTGGAGTTGCTGATCCACCTGCAAGAAAAAAAGAAAACAAAACTAAGGGTGCATCAACAGAGGTCGATGTGTGAAGGAGATAGAATACTTCCCGCTAGAAATTGTTGAAAATACCAAGTGAGAATCCTCCGGCAAGATTAGACATAGCTGAATAAGTCTCCTACAATGCATATAAAATACTGCTTTTTTTCCCCTCCCTGTGAAATCAGGCTTCTCACACAGTTGCAAGTACATACGCGTGCGCACAGGCATCTTATTTCTGGGAAATTCGATATAGACTTTGACAGGCATTTATCTTTCCACAGAGGGTTTCTCACCAGTGCTTTCCTGCACACCGGAACGGCAAATGAAGCAGTTACAGAGCCTACTGGGCAGAGTTAACATTGGGTCTCCATTCCTAATGTCTTCCTCCTCCTTATTCTGTTCTAGGGTCATTTTCTGCCCCATTTGCTCCATAACTTTGACCTGGTCTCATTCAGGTATAGGCTTACATGTTTCCTGGGCAAGGCTTGAGGCTTCACAAAAGGATCATTGAAACTTCCTTGGTGAGTGGAGTTTAACCGGAGTAGCCCCTAAAGGAGGCGGTGGTGAGGCTACCTACACAGGATTTGGTAGGATTGAGGAGTAAATTCAATCATAGGGCCCATAGCATTCCTCATTTCCTCACCCATCGCTAATTCCATTTAATTCTACTTATTCCCATGTTCCCCATTCCTAAGAAGTACTTCCCATCAGACCCAACTTTTTAAGCTAATCATATCTATTTTATTCTTCCAAGCCTGACTCTGAATATATGTATCTGAATGCTTAATTCTCTTAACTACAGTTTCCTTCTTGCTACCTCTTCTTGGATTGGTTTTCTTACAGGAGTATCTTAGGTCTTCAGGGCATTCACTGCCTGTATACTGTGGCACAAACGGCATATTGTATTT